CTTGGAACCACAGCAGAATGCGGGAATCACAACAAGGCATCCATTCCAGTGACAAATCCCAGAAATCGGCAGTGTTCTCAGTCTGTGTTTTTGGCAGGTCATTACAGCCATCTTTTTTCTCTTTTGTGCATCTGGAGAGCAGTGCAGCCACACCCAAAGTCCAAAAGAATTTTCCCCTGGAACAGTGAAAGATACATCGCCATACTTTGGGCCTTGCTGCACCACTCTCCAAATGTGCAAAATGAGACTGAACCTACCGCTAGAACATGGAGAGATACATTGCGATCTTTTTTGTCTTCTGTGGCCCTTCTCCGAAAAAAACAAAAAAAGGAAGACTCTAATCTACTGAAACAAAAAACGAAGAATCTACTGGCCAAGAGAAAAAACTGCTCTGCACATCGCACCACTACGTACTTGTATTCAAACATGCGCCTGGAGTCAGAAACGGCAGCAACTCTTCATTTCGCTGGGCCCGCCCCTTGTCCCATCAGCTTTCCCAATGGACGGCGGGTCTGCGTGGGAGCGTTACTCAAGATCCATGATTCCCTTTAAACTGCCAGTGCCTTTTCGGGAAGAAAACAAGACCTTCGAGCATGCTGGAAGGGCGTTTTGCAGGCTCAGTACAGGGCCGGGAGGGTACCGGTAACGGGTGGTCTTTGGGGGCTTGGGGGGGGGGGGGGGGGGGGGGGCAACGCCCTTCAAAAGGGGGGGGGGGGAGGGAGGGGACCGCAGCCATCACGTAAAAGGAAAACAAAAAAAAAGGAAGAGGAAAACGCACAGAAATGGAAAAAAAAAAGAAAAAAAAGAAAAATGGCAACCCTCCCCCCACTGCATTGGGACTTTTCCCACAGTTCCGCACAGCGGTCGTTGGTCGTTTGCAAACGGCTAGGCCATTTGTCGGTCGTCCGATGGCGGGGCGGGCCACTGCCGTTTGCTGGGGTCCTGCAACTGGGCAGTGTTCCTCTCCGTGCCAGCACTACGTGGAAATCCCGCGCGGCATCCAGCGAGAGAAGGTGTGCGCTGTTGGACGGAAACAGCAGCAGCACGTGCATTCTTGCCAAAGCCGCCGTACATGAGAGAGAAAGAGAGAGATCTTTTGCGCGCGCGATGGAGAACGGTGGCGTGCAACCGTGTTTGCCCTGGCTAACAACATAGCGAACGTTGTAACTCCCGCCCCTACAAAGTTCACTAAGGCGGGAGTTCAGAAGTTCGCTATGACCGTAGCCACTGCAATGTTGGCTGCGCCCCGCCATCCTCCATACCCACACACACACACACACACACACACACACACACACACACACACAGAGAGAGAGAGAGAGAGAGAGAGAGAGAGAGAGAGAGAGAGAGAGAGAGAGAGAGAGAGTTCACATGCGACGAAGGCCGTTGCAAATCCCGCCTCGGTTACCCGCCTGGCTACCGGTCGCAGCGAGGCCTGGCATCCGCCGAAGAAAGTCCCACGTGCTTTCTGGGACAACAAACGGACAATGGAAGATGAAAGAACCCCCCCCCCCAAAAAAAAAAACAAAAAAAAACGAACGAAGAACAAAAGAAAATGAAAGAAAGGACTGCCGGCAGCGCCATCAGAGGGCCCGCGCTGGATACTTACCATGAAATCACGAAGCCCCTCAGCAGCAAAATTCTTCTTCAAAGAGGCTGACGCAGACGGCAGCTCCATATGAAAAGAGGCTGACGCAGACGGCAGCTCCATATGTATCCCTCCGCCAGTGGCATAATTTGGAGAGCCCTCACTTTTTTTCGGGCAGCTTTCGAAACTGGCTGCCGACCGGTTCGGGGAAAGGTACTGGCAGTTTAAGAGTATAGAGATAGAATATAGCAACTGCCTGGGACGAGCAACTCAATGAGGCTAGCTTAGGCAGGGGTGAAGGGTAGTACATCCTGTGGGAAGTAATCAATGCCGTCCTTCAGGCCTTCCCAGCATAAGGGGGAGAAGCGTGTGTGAGTTCTATATGTAAAACTTTGACCTGCCGTGGAATAGGAACCGGACTGATGCTCTCCTGAATGGAAAAGGAGCCAGAGCTATAAGGTACTGTTTTTTTTTTTTTTTTTGGTTAACTAACCTGTTCTGGACAATGCAACGCACCCTTGTCATGACTGTACCTGACCTGAAAGATAGCAACACACACACAGCCCCGAAGTTTTATGAGGGAATATGCGCCGCATGTCCACACACCACAAGTATGATAGGAACTAAACACCAGGAGTGATGCCATTAATGACTGGTAGTGAATGCTCACCTCATGACGCCAACAGTCCCCAGTCGTACGGCATCTTGCCTTAGTTTCGCACGAGCCTCTTGCCTCTCTGCCTTTGCAACTGCAATGAGAAGATCAGAAAGAACTTTCATTCTCTGGTGTACACGCGAGGAGAGAAACCCACATGAAGACATGAAACCGACACACAAAACAGTGTCACTGCAAGCCAGATATAACTGGGCATAGCACACCGCAGGCCTTTGATCACCCTCAAAAAGAATAAGGAAAGCAGCCAACTTAATCTCACTTCGTGATACATCAGCGAACAGGGCTTCTACTCCTAACTGAAACCGAGTAGAAGAGTGGATAAGCTCATCAAAGCAGAATATTCATTTACAAATACTTAATTTTGCGAATATAACCTACTAAGATTCCACTAGTGTTCGAATGGTCAGAATTGCAATGCCAGGGGGTACTCGAGCACCCAGCAACCAAAAGATGCACCCTGAGGTGCCTCAACATGCTTAATCTCCGAGTTCATTCTTACAGGGCTTACTACCTTCTTAACCCGAAAAAAACGTACATACCTTGTATACGAATACAACGTACGGGGTACGTTGTATTCAAATACAACGTACGTACGTTATAGAACGAGTTTTAGGGTACAACTTTTCAGAAGCCTGTAGTACCGCCATTGTTTTTATTTTTATCTCAAATTTGGTTGGGAATTTCGCCAAGATCCTCAGGCAAAAGTTGTTTGCATTGCAATGTTGTACAACATACTTTTTTCTCGGATTTTTTACGGAAGTTTTTTTTTTAATCGAAATTCTGGAAAAATCAGTAAAAAACATTTCCATCCTCGTTTTTATTTTTTTTCTCGAATTTTCTCGTGAATTTCGGTAAGACACTCAGGCAAACGTTGTTTGTATTGCATTGTTGTATAACATTTTATTTTTTTCGGATTTTTTTGATTATTTTTGAAAAATCAAAGTTCCAAAAATTTGAATACAACATACGTACGTTGTATTCGAATACAACGTACGTACGTTATATTCGAACGTACGTTCTATTCGGGGAAAAACAAGCAATTTCTGAAAACCCGATTTCGAGAGGTAATTCGAATAGAACGTAGCTGTCTGTCCAACCTTCGTACAGTGATAATGACCAGCCGTGATCAGGGGATGAAAGTATAGTCCTTGCAGGTTTGGACCTGGGCATGCAGGGAATTCAGCCTTCAACCACCAGAGTTCGACAGAGGAGGGGGTTAATGGGCAGTTATGGCACAGGCCGTCCAGTACATCCAAACCACAGCCCGCTTTCATAAAGGTGCACCTGCCGGGTGAGCTGTTACACCATGGAGCAGTGAGGTAGCAACATGGATGAGTGCACGTACGCTCTGCTGTTTCTTACGTTCATGTTATAGGGCCTCCGCATGACATTCGACAGTTGTCATGACTATAGCCACCCAATTAGAACTCAGATAGCTGCAATGAGGCTAAATGGAGAAACGGGCTATTTTACATACGTGCAGTGCACCATGTCCATGCCAATTGCGCACACACGGTGCACTGAACATTGCCCATGCAGCACACACACCCAGTGTGCAACAAGCCCTTAAATCAGGGTCCCCCCCCAGAAAAACAGTCTCGGCAGGGTTGAAAGGGTTAACCAGGGCTGAAAAGTGGGGGTCCCTGTTAACCGCGTTTGATGGTTAACGGAGGCCTCAATTTTCAGACCACTTGTCAGGCCATTTATAGCAAAACCCAAGGGTCATTTTAACCAAACTTGCCACCAATTCATAGAGTGAAGATCATACTAACTACTTACAAAAAAAAAATGAAAAAAAAAAACTTTAAACCAGGGCTGAAAAAGTGGGGGTCCCTGTTAACCACGTTTGCCCCAGCTGCCAAAAATCTCCAATGGGCCGTGCAAATTGTTTTCAGGCCACGCCAACTCCCGACAAAAAATTTGGGGGAAGACTCATGCCAACTTCAAATTCAAGTAGTTCCGAAGTTGGCATGCGGCACAGCCAGACCAGTTCCTTCCCGTTTGCCGCCATTTTCCCTCCATCGTCTTCTTATGCAGCTACCTGTGCATCACCCTGCTCCATCGCCTGCCATCCTCCTCGGAAGCAGGTGAGTCTATGTCGACCTAACTGTGCAGGCAGTAGCAGCAGCATCACAAAGCGGGAGCAGCAGGGCTGAAAGAGGACAGCCGAGCAGGTTGGTGGCCACCAGCCCTCCCTCCCGCTGCCCTCAACTGTGAGCACATGTTTGCAAAGCAGATGGGAAAATACTTCTGTCACTACATTTTACCACCTTCTACTAATCGTAGGCAGATGCATCTTGCCACCATCGGCATGAGGATGCGTGAATGTTCTTTTTTTCCTGTTTCTTTTTCTTTACTTTCAAGTTCCTTTTCGACAAGCAACCTCTTTTTCCTGCT